GGACCATAGACCCTAGGGGAATTTCTGTGTGGAAAGGACTGGAAAAAAGCTCTGGTGCAGAATAAGAAGATTGAGCAGGCCCTGATCTGCACCTTTTGCATACAGACCTGCCCGCTGTGCCAGGGCAGAGCCGCCCACTCCAAACCTTCCACGGGCCACAGGAAGGACAGGGCAGGGGGCACAGGGGCTCCAACTCTACCCCACAGTGGTGGGATTTGGGTTTCCCTGAGTTCTTTGAAGGATAATGGAATGCTTTCTGCAGGGCTTTCTGCATATGTACTGATCTGCATGAACCCAAGCTCTGGGTCAACAAAGATTATTTTTATGAGAAATAAAGACAAACTTGTTGTTCAACATTACAGAAGCACCTGATATCTACTAGGGCAGAGCCTCAGCTCCTCATCAGCACAAGGTATGGTATGCACATTAAAGTCTGAGATTTTTTTATCAGACACATAGAGGGCACTTCCTGTCAATATTTGACCATGCTTTTCCATGTCACCTGGACACTGATCACAGAAAATATCCTTCAGCATAATAGGAATTCAGCACACAGCTTAAGTGCTGAAGGAAGGATGTGCAAATAATGAAGCAATGCACAATCCTAAACAAATGTACTCCAATGTTTGGAAGACAAAGGGAACTAGTTTCCCATCTGTGTCATGTTTTCTTTCAATGCACATACACAGGACTACTTGTATTGATAGAAACAGTCTCACTTCAATTCACCGAAATTATGGGCAATGCACAGTCCCCAGAAACCTTGTGGCAGCCCAGGACTTGAAGAGGCTTTACCCAAAATGTGCCTATGTACACACACACACTGGGGCCAAGTGCCCCTGAGTTTCTTCCTCCACCCAGGGTTTCTAACCTTCAAGTAGCATTCAGAGTACATGCTGTTACTGTTGCCTTACTGTTGTCACTTTGGCTTGTATCTCTCACCTTGTTCTTGATTATCATGGTGCTTCTCACTCAAGAAATCACCACAAACAAATAGGAATTTTTAAGAATCCCACAGCACTCAAAAGTCATAAACACCTAAATACCTGTGGACTGAAGGCAGTGCAAGTAGCCCGAGTCTGCACCCTCTGAAGGCAACAAATGCTTTATTACAGCCTGCAGCAGGGCTTGGAGTTAGGCCAGAACTGACTGGGAAAATCACAGAGCCCTACTTTATGATTGTCTTGAAAAGCCTTCAGTGGAGCCATTCCACCAGTACATTTCACAAATGCTTCATGGTTTAAAAAGGAATCAAACCAACCCTTACTAGGAATCACCTTTACAACCCTTTTGAAGTCCTTTCAGGCTGCAGTTTGGATGTGGCACCTGAATTACACAAGGACACCTGCTCCTGGCTGGGAGGCACCTCTTTTGGGTAGACCAGGAAGGATGACCCTGAAAGGAACTCTGCTGGACCAGAAGGAAAAGGTCAGGGAGGAATGCAAGGGGACACCCCACTGGGTCAGGGCACCCCAAATTCCTCACTGTCATGCTGAGGTCATGGACACTTCTGTGCAGGTCTTGGAGTGTGTGTGTTGGTGTAAGGTCGTGCCCTTCCACTGCGTCACTCTCCATTCTTCCTGGGAACAATCAGGAAGAAACTCTGGGTGTTTCTTGGCTCCTGCACACACTTTTCACGCAAAGGGGAGCACCTAGCCCATAGAGAACATTTTTTTCCTGCTGTAATCTTGATGGAAAACGTTGTTAGTGATGGAGAAAGGAATTCAGGAGACGGCTGAGAAGTGCCTGAGGGAGAACTTTCATATCTATTTGCACAAGACACGTCGTGAACATGCCACCAAAGTCAAGAGAAGCATTAACAAGGCAAGGGGAAAGGGCAGGAGAATTTCCTCTTTCAGCTCCTTGGGAGTCCTGCCTGTGTTCCAGGGCATTGGTTTGCTTTGGCAAACCTGAACGGCCTGAAAGGGCAGTGCAGCAGTCATCCATCCTGAGACACAAGGCAGATTAAGCTCCTGAATTACTGTGTCAGAACTACAAAAACTTGGTACCTGAGATGCTGAGTTTCCAAGAATCACACAGACAAGGTCACTTGGAGGCCCTCATTGAGTTTGCCTGTCGGAAGAGCATCCCTCTAAGAAACGCCCATGAACATGCAATACCCTAGCCACTTAAAAATATGAGGAAAAGCAGAAAATTCTCAGCCCCATCTTGCATGTTCTGGCAGGGCCTGTAAGTGAAGGTCCCTCTCCCAGCCTGCGTTCCTGACTCATCCTGCCCAGAGGCGGCAGACCAGGGATGCACTCAGGGGAAGTGCTCGGGTCCTCCCTGTGGCGAGGCTGCCACAGCTCCCTGCGAGGCCCCGCTGTGGCCGTGTGTTCATTTTACTGCAGGGGTTCCATACTGTTGCCTCCTTATTGCAAAAGTTTCAGACCTTCTTGGTGTTTCTCATGGGCTGCTCCTCAGAGCACTGACTCTTTCTTCTTCACAAAGCAGCCAACTGACTCCAATTCCCTTCTCAACCAGCCACCCCACTCTTTTACAGACTCTTCTTCTCACTGGTTACAGCTGTGGCCTGTTAGAGTCAGGCCTGCTTCTAGTCTTTGATAATTAGCCCAGCTGCAACTCCTTAGGGGTAAAATTACTTTCTACCCTATCTTTATTTTCTTACATTCTATCCCCCTACATTGCCACACAGCCTCTGAATTCAGTGTTGGCACCTATTAAGGCAGCTCCTGGAACAGTGCTTCCGGCCAAACCCGCTGCCGGGCTCTGCCGAGCAGCCAGTACGAGTCAATAAAATTCTCTCCATTGCGGGATTTGCCATAACAATAGGACCAGCCTTACGTACTGAAGTGATGTCAAACAAATTAGCTTTGCCCGAGTTACTCAGACATTCCTGCAAAGCTCAGGCCTGTCCTCTGGTGTCTTGAGCCTGGCTGTGCTGTTTGCCAGAGGGAGCTGTGGAGAGGCCTCTCTGCACAACAGCCTTGGAGAAGGAGGAAAAAGGAAGGTTCTTGCATTCCCTGTGCCCCCCAAAAAAACCTGAATAACAATTATAAAAAGGGCAAAGAGCATAACAGATTTATGCAAAGAGCATAACAGGGGAAATGCTGCCATGCCACATTTTGCTCAGTCCTAGCCAGGAAACACAGCTGGCATTTGAATATCAGGTATTGAAAATGCAGTAAACTGTGTTTCTGCTTATTAAAGGACAAAACACCTTCATAGAAAGGCAAAGAAATGGCACTGGGGAATCTATACAAGGAAACTTCCTTGCCAATACTAACCAGATAAATTCAACAAGAAGTTTTGATTAAAAATTAGCATTTAAGTGACTTGGCCTTAGACACGGAATCAAAACCTCGCCTTTGGATACCTTTAACCTTTTTATGAACTAGAAAACTGAGCCCAGAGCTAAGGCAGGTGACCATTCACAGATGGCCCTAATTCCATAATGGGGCAAAACCCCCAAACCATCAAATGGAAAATTCCCCCAGAATGGCTATGCAAGACATACCTCAACTACCAAGTTCAGCTCATCCCAAACTGCTCCAGAGAATAAGCATTTAGAGCAGTTTTAACCCTAATTTGTCTGTTGAAACTGTGTCTCATGGGCTATTTTTATGTTTATACTTATGAAAAATGGAATTAGAATCTTAATTTGACTCAAGCAACCTCTCATTTAGAGGTTTGCTTAACCACAGGCCATGGGCTTCATACCAAGTCAAACCCTGCTCTCAACCAAACCCAGCCTGTGCCCCAGCTCCCAACCCTGGCAGCCACAGGGAGGGAGGGAGCTCTTCCCTGCACAGCCAAGAGCCAAAGGGCCCGGAGTAGCAGAGCTCGCAGAGCAGCCCAGTGAACAGTCCCCTCTCATGCACACCTCCTCCAGCTCAGCCAGGTCTGCTGCTCACAGAACCTGCTCTCCCTTCCACTCAGTTCAGCGAGAGTAGGAGCAGCCCCAAGTCTAGTCACAGTACAAGATTTTATTGCTGTCATGATAATTAATGACTACTTACACTGAGATTTTAATGAGTACCTGCACTTTTTTGCCTTTGTTCTTCAACTGGGTCATAAAGGAGGAGTCCCAAGCGGTTTCCTGGATTTGCAGTACAATAGGGACCTCTACAGGCGTTTCCCTTCTCCAAGCAAGGCTCAGGACAGGTAAGAGCAGCCACACCAGAGCTCTGTGACACACAGACCAGGGAGCAGCCAGCACTGGGTTCCGTGCTAGCATTCACTGAAATCAGCAGGGCTATGAAGACCCTGCCTCTGACAAGGCTGGAGCTGACTGAATCCAGCTCTGACTGAATCGGAATCCTTCAGATTATTTATCGTGCACATTGTCTGCTCTCTAGTACTTACACTTTGCTATGATACTTTTCAGGACAGCTCTAAAAGTTAAAACACAAATAGTAAATCTGCACTCCTATCACACAAGAGAAAACTGACATGAATATTCAGAAAGAAATTCTAGCTGTTTGCCCTCAAACTTGCATGTTACCAAATCTGACCCATCTTTCCTGTCTCTTAACACTTACTGTGTTACTGATCTACCCAAGCACCATTTCTTAAAAGAACTCGCAGAAGAATAACGAACATCATTCTCAAAGCCTTGCTTCCTAGGGATGGTCTAAAGGCAATCCATTAAGAACTGCAACCTTCAGGGGCAACAGGAGTTATTCTGAACTTAATTATGAAATCAATGGCATTACCAAATTAGCCTTCTCCTTGTGGGATGCTACAGTGTATTTCATGGACCAGAAATGAAACAAAACATATAACAGGTACAAAGAATTACAAAGCTCTTCTGCCAAGAGGAATATGATTTTTTGGGTTTGATTTTGGTTTTGGGGTTTTGTTGGAGGTGGAGGGGAGAGTTGGAGTGGGTTCTTTGGGGGGGGGGGTTCAGTCTTGTTTTGGGTTTTTTTTGCATGAAGTTCAGAGTCACTTAGAAGTGATTAGTTTCACAGCTGGTTCTTAGCACACAAACACAAGGCAGGGTTGCACTGCTGCAGCAGCACCAATGAGATTTGTACTTTTACTGTAAGTGGGATGGAGAACAAACCCTGGTGTGTCATTTTCCAAATATACTGTGGGCTACTAAGAATAACAGAAAACCTCCAAGGAAAAACTGTCTCTTACCTGTGTGCCAGCCACCAGTGCCCCAGCCAGCAGGAGGGACAGGGACACTGTGCACTCAGAGCATCAATTCAACTCCTTACACTTCCCTCCAAAACCAAATCAAATGTCTTTAAAGCCATCTTGTCCCCAGGCTTACATCCCAGTGTTTGCAACAGACCTTGCTGGGATCAGGGAAACTTGTAGGCCACCCACACAGCTGAGCAGAAAATGGGAGCTGAATACAGGGAAGATGTTCCAGTGGCAGCCCAGCACACCCGCACAATGGCTGCAGATGCCAGTGGAGCAGGTTCAGGACTGGGTAGCTTAAGGGCAACCCAGCATGAGAGATGTGCTGCAGCAAAAGCCAGTGTGGTTCCACCAGCCTGGATCATTCACAGGGGAAGTGCTCTGTCCTTGAGAAAGGAATATCCTGGTCTTTGATGTCTCTGGTTTGCCGCCCCTGCCAAGCTGCTGCCTCCCACAGCTGAAGCAGCCCTACCTAAAAGTCACATAAAGCAGAGGCTCCTCTTGAAATGATAGTTTTTGGCACGTGCAGCTGGAAAGGGAAGAAGAAGCTTATGACTCTCTTAATTATGCCACTACACAAAGAGTAGTGAGCCTGATAAATGAGCTAGGAAAGATGATCCTGATCCTCTGACAGGCCAGTTCTGCAGGAAATTCAGCATCGTAAGCAGCAGCACACCATTCCAGGCTGGCAGCATCTGTCACTTATCAAGGAAGGGCTCAGCAGGCCTGACTCCCTGCAGCAATGTGAGGCCATGCAGATTCCCTCAGCCCAAGTGCACCGTGAGTCAGTCAGGCAGCCATGCCTCACACACAGCTGGGGCCTGCTCTGAGGCTGTGCTTCTGCAGGGTGGGCACACAGCACCCAGGGGATGAGAAACACTGTGCTGGAAGCCATGACTCCACTCGGAAAAAAGAGAATTAAAATAAAGCAAGCACCTTCTTTTCCTTCCTGCCTTGCCTTCTTCCCATCGTCATCTTTCTATTTTATTCTCATGCTGTCCTGACACCAAGTCTCATTTTGCATAGCACAGGCTTACCTGGTGCTTCACCTTCCACTTCCACTGGCAAAAAAATACCAGCAAACTCTCACTTCCAAAGCCTCCTTGGGCCTGAAAGACAACTAGAAAAACATTTCACTATGTAGTCTCCTGCTGAATTGTGGCCCTTAAGTAGACCTTCCTTTTCACTTACGAGTAACCAAACTTGAAAAAAATCAGAGTATGTTGCTGTAGGTACAAAATGGCTCACTGCAATGAGTAAAACCAGTGAAAAGGCACTTGCACATCCTGCAGGGCACCTGCATGGCCTCTGGTACACAAGGGGTGTAACAAACATCAGTAAGAGAACGTGCAATCAAAATGCATCTCTCCAACAGTACTCTTTGGGCAAGGTGAAGTCCAGATGTTCCAACTCATGCCCTTAAGAACTTGTGTGCCAAGTGCACAGACCCCCTGAGGCAGTTGTGTAGGGTGCGTGTCTGCTCCAAGACAGCCTCTGCAAAGGAGAGGGGTTGGTCCTTGGGAAGTGAATCCAACACCAGCAGTGTGAGCACAAGAGACAACTCACTGGGGAGAGGCAGATTCACTCATGTGACAAAAACCCTGAGGCTTTTTGTCCTTTAAATGTTCAGCTCCACCATTTTCTCCTGAGACCAACAAGCAGGATCTCTCACCTGTGTTTTCCTAATGACATGCACATCTTCCATTTCCATGTGAGATGGGTGAAGGGTGTTTTGCATTTGTGAGGATGTGCAGACTGTAATTTATACCTAATTGTCCTCTCACCACATATGTGTGACACAAAATGATAGGGCCACTACCAAAAGCTGACTTGAAGATAGTCACAAGCACAAGTTACCCAGCAGTGGAACTTAAGAAAAGGTCAGAAGAATGGAAAAAAGCAAGCAGTGCAAAGATTTGAAGATTTGACTGGAGATGAAGAAGACAAAAAGGCTGAGGGATGAATACAATGGTGTCAATGTGCAGAGGAGTGGTGTCCATCCACTTCTCACCAGCAATCCTTTTTGTGTGTGCATATGCTGCTTGCTCCCTCTGTTACACGGGATTCCAAGCAGTGTGTGATGTGCTGTTTTATTTACTGGTATCACAGAGCCAAGATGGCTCAGCTACTGATAAGGATGCCCACATAAGAAGCCCCTGAACTTCAGACCGTTGACATGCCACATGCACCTTTACCCTTTCAAACCCCACCTTTCATACACATTTCAGCATTGTCACTGTAGTCTCACAAATACACAGGTTTTTTCAACCAAAAACATGCATCCCTCTTGTCAAAATTAACTCACATAACCAAAAAACTGAACTTTCAGCAGGGCACCTGAATTTTGGAGCCAATATGACTCCACAAGACTTCAAAGTACCAATTGCCTTTCGCTGGTAGATGGCTGAGCACAGCAGATGAGTCTACAATGTGCAACAGCTGAAATGAAAATGTCTGAAAGCCATCTCTAGTCACATCAGCATGGCAAACACTCCAGCTGTCTGTGAGACGTCCCAGTTAGTGCCATCATCTTCAGAACCAATTTTCTTCCCTTTTCCTTGAACCAAATCTTTGTACCTTACCAACTCTTTGTAGATAAGATGAATGGAACCAAGCATCCGATATGCAATCTGTTAGTCCAGGGTGGAACTGAATCCCTAAAATAATTTCTTATTTGAGTGGTTACATTGTCCCCATAATGTGCAAATGGAATAGAGAAAGTCTGTTTCCTGGGAAAAACTGTAGTGAAGTTTCATATCAAAATTCCAGCTTCTCTAGCAATTCAAGTCTTGTGCAGGAATCAGGGTGCAGCAAGGCAATGTTCTGCCTGAAATTCCACAGAACTGAGGACCTGCTGTAGGATGTTTGGGAAGCAGACAGTTCTTTGTCACAATCACACTCCACAATCCATTTTGAGAAAGGTGTCCTGTTGCTTTGCTTATGAAAACAATAAGAACATGCCATGCCCAGAGGTGTCATGGTCTGATTTTCCAGGAGAATTGCCTAGTCTCTATATTTTAATTTAAGGATGGTTTTGAGAACCAGACACTTTGCTCAGTCCAAAACATTTGTTGTCCTTTATGGCACCAGAAGCCCATACATGGCCCAGCCCACCAAGGGTAACCATTGGGTTGGGAGAGGACTGTTTATCCACACACAGCCAGCAGACAACAAAATCAGAACCCAAATGGTTAGTGGTCAGCACATGATGTCCAGAATACAGCTCCACTATGAGGGAGGTGGTGCTTATCCTCCAGAGGAGATAAAAAAAAGAAAAAACCAAACAGAACACACAAGACCAAAGCAGAACACTGTATGAGTGCTTGAAATGACTGAAAACAGCTAAAACCAACCAGTCCTTCCCCCAGAGCAAACACTAGGCACAGGACAGTGCTGAGATGCCTGCAGTGTCCTCAGCTGCTTGGGCCTGGGGACCATCCACCCTCACCCAAGAGAGGAAGTCTTTCTTCAACCACACCCAGAGCCTGTCAGTGCTGCAGGAGTTCCCTTGGCACGCTCCTTCGCCGTTCCCTCGGGCTCATCTCCTCGGCAGGGCCGGGGCACCTGTCCCATGGCGCGGGGGCCTTCCTCCTCAGCAGGCAAACCGGTGAGAGTTCCAGCACAGGGCTTCACAGTGCCGTCTCACCCACACACACCTTGTAGGGGGATTGCAGTTTCCTGCATCTGAAGCAGATACCAGCATGTGATTTGCATCAGCCAAACCTGAAACTGCAGCAGCCTCACAGAACCAAAATCTAGTCCCCTAACTCACTTGGGTAGCCCAGAGGAGCCCCACAGTTCAGACAACTGCACCACTGGTAGATCAGAAATCAGAAGTATAGAGAGTTAGTTCCTTGAAAATCACACCACAGGTTAGTGGCAGGTGAAGACACAATCCCAGTGCCCCTAAAACTCTGCCCACTGAAATTCAGATCAATGTAATCAGAAGACTCCAGATTTCCCATACCTCTTTCTTACATAGCAGTAGATGATGGCGAGTATTCCACTGGTCAGTATTCCAATCCCAATCCCCACAGCAATGTAGCGCTCATAAGAATTATGTGCATATGAATTTAGTGTTAAATGTTCACACCTCTCTCCATTATAACCTGCAAGGCACCTACAAAATAAATACACATCACGCAAAAATCATTCAGAGCTTGTTTCATTTTCTATTTCAAATACATATTAGTTTACATCAGTTTCAAACAGATCACAAGAAGTCTAATCAAGGAGGGGCTGAACCTGCTGCTCACTCAGAACCTCTTCCCTCCACCAAGACTACCAGTTGTCCCAGTTTATCTAGGTTAAAGCTGGCTTGAGTACTGCAGTCACAGCAGCAACACAGTCTAAACATCCCCTGGTTGTGCAGGGTGTGGACCAAGAGCACTGTGCTCTGCAGATCCTCAGCTGCTGTTATGTCTCCAGAGGCCAAGGCTGTGCACTAAGCATCCTAGAGAACTATAAGGACACCATGGTTCTGGTTGGTATGGAGCTGTGGAATAAGGCAGTTAGAGCTGATATGTTGGAAGGTGCTGTTCCCTTCTTAATACTCACTGTGAACATCTATTGATTCCTCTACTACTAATTCCAGTACCAGCTGTGATTTGAGATGCCACCATGGCAGTGACCTACAAAGCTGTGAATTCCCCCTCTCCATTCCTCAGTTTTCCACTAGCACAGTACTGCAGCCTTGTTTGCGGTCTTGAAACACCACAGCACTCAGGTCTGTGACAAAGTTTAATCCTGCAAATATCTGACTGACACTGTGAAGCTGCACATGCAGCACATGAATAATCAATGCCAGTGCCATTTTTGAAGCAGGGTATAACAGGCAGCATTCCTTACTTGCATATGGGCTTCCTCAGCTCACTGTGGAAGGCGCACAGCCCATTGATACAATAGCTGTGGTGCTCCTCAAGGCAGGTCTGCATCAGCTTCAAGAGCTTTGGCTGCTCTGAATAATCTACTGTGAAACAGAACAAAGTCATGTTACTTTTAGGACAGAATATTGTTTGAACATATTTTCACACTCGGAGCAGAACAGACAATGTGCAGCAAACACTCCGTATGTCAATTTACTGTGTGGTGTCCCGTGAGCTGGTTCAGTCAAGCACTGAACAGAGCAAGTTTCCAGACAGTCCAGCACAGCTTTGAGAAAGCACTAACTGCAAATAAACCATCCGCTCCTGAGCAACATGTACAGAAATTACTATGGGAGATTCACACAGGGTAACATCAGCACTATCCAATCTGCAATGCAATCAGAAAAACTTCCCCAGTAATAGCAGGGGTTTAGGACACAAGGAGAGCACTGAATTACTCTCAGTATCCTTCCCAGGTGGGATTCAATTAATAGCAAATTTTTCCTTGTCCCAAGACAAACTATTGCACTTCTGGTGCTCCTGCCTATCAGATCTGGGTGAAGATGAATGGTGGGACTCCTCCCTCCTCTCCCTTCTCCGTGGTTCAATGTTAGCTGAGTGTCCCAGGATAGTTTTAAGCTGCCAAGACTGCCTGGTTGGTTCTGCTGTGCAAAAGCACAGTCCATGGCCAGCAAGGTTGTGAACTTGCGCTGAATTCTACACAACTGAGTCAGCAAGCACACTTCTCACACAGAAAACACTACCTTATTCCCTTATTCACGGTGGTTCAAATGGGAATAAAGAAGTCACAGGAACAGGGGTGCAGCAGGTGAGGAGAAAGCTCCAAAGCTTTGCCATCACTGCAGGCATCTGTTCCAACTGGTCTCTCTACCCAGTTCCAGGAATCACTGGTGGGGTGGGGTATCCAAGCAATGACTTGCTATTTCAGGGGACTGCATCAGTGACAGCTGAAGGTGATTTCCTAATAGAGGGCATGTCAACAGCAGCTTTCAGTTATGACCACAACAAAAATAACATCTTGCAGCAAGGTGACAAGGTCTACCCAACAAAGGTGACTCAAAGGTACAGCAAGCAGAACCCTTCCTTTCTGACTAAGTGCTGAATCAAGGTCTGGAGATGGTACAATCATGGAATCATTGCCACACACACAAGCCTCAAGCCTCCTTGAGGGCAACTTGTGAGCCCACCACACACTTGTCAGGATTAACAGCACCAATCCCCTAAATTCCCAATCAAATTCCAGTCTGAACCATCTAACTGCAGGAACCTCCATTGTGTGCTCTTCTAAGTAGTTTTTGAGGTTTTTTCCTTCCTCCTCTCTGCAGCTTTATCTGAGGCGACAAGCAATGGCAAACAGCTGTTCTCACTAGAGCAGCTCTCAGCTTGAGCTGTGAATGATGTGGTTTGGACACCCAAAAGGCATGATGCTATCACTGACACTCAGATCAAACAATTCCTTTGAGAACAGTGTCTCTCAAACCTGACAGAGTAACCAGACTCCCAGCTTAGCATGAGACCTAGAGAGAACAAGTGACAATTCAGGTCTGCTTGAAAAAATGACACCTTGGCTTACTGCACTTCCTCAGAAAAGCTACAGAGGTGGGAGAAGCATGTCTTGTTTCAGAATTAACTTCTAATGGCTGAGAAAAGGGCATCTTAGCCATCCTTCCACAGAGAAAAAGTTACCCCCAAGTTTCTCTTCACACTATGGGGCCTAGAAACACAATGCAAGTGAGGAAGTTGGTGCTGGCTAAACAGGAGTTTAGTGTCCAGCTCTGGCTCTTTTTGGGCTACTTCTGGGAAGGCTGCTGACAATCTCTGGATACAGGCTTGTTGGCTAAGAGTACAGTCAGCCAAGGACCAGGCCTTAGTGGGACAGACTTCAGGAAGGAGTTAAGAAAGGGCAGTTTTCAGGATGAAAAGACAGATTTTGGGGCAAGAGATGGATGACCCTACTGGCTTCACAGGAGAACTGTACACTGCTCTCTGATGAGGAAAGCACAAAGGAAAGCATGTGGGCAGCAGAGCTGCAGGGCTCAGCATGCCAAGGAGATCCAGGGTGCCAGAGACTCTCAACAGCCCACTCTGGTTAGGTCTAAAGTACCTGCAGAAGAGCTACCTAAGCTCCACAGGGAAGAGTTTCAGAAAACAGACAATGGCACATGCACACTTTTCCCAGGAGCCTCCTCAAACATTCAGGCACTAACTGTTTTGAATCACCATTTCAGCACAAAGTGCACTGGAAAACCACTAAAAATATCCTTCAATGGGAGACTTCAGCCAGCATTTCCCACTACCCAAAGTACTGCTCTTCTCCTAGGCCCTGAGAAGGTGTCTATTGCACAGGTTTAGCCTTTCATTTCCATTTCTTCCACGAGGGGAAGAAAGAAAATAAACATGAGGAAGGTACAAATTCACATCCCAGAGGCACAAAATCCCCAGCCACCTCTACCCCAACTTTGACCAGATGGATTGCCACATCCCAAAATCTCTCCTTGCTCATGCTAGCTCTGCCGAGAGGTGGCAGACTTCCACCTACCCACACTGCAGGAAACCTGGCTTTGCGCAGGCACAGGAACCCCTTTCCCTGAGTGCCAGTGTCATTAGAAACCCAGGTCAGCCCGGAGCAGCAGCCTGCCTAGAAAGCACTTGAGACAGACCAGCACATTCCTCCTTCGCTGTCAGGAGGAACAGCTTGGTCCATTGTGGGTAACATCACCTATTAAGTCTACACACAAAAATTCCGTGAGCCAATTATTTTGACATTGCAAAAGTACAAATTACCTCTGAAAGAATGAGTCTCAAAAACAAAAAGGATGATTTCCTAGCCCACCCCAGAGCATTATGTTAATTCCTATCATACTGCCCGCCTAGATCCTAAACAAGCTGTTGAATAAACAGGTCCATGTGCCCTTTCATGTCACATGAGGAGAGAGAAACATGCCATGTAAGCACTTGACAGCTGCCTGCAACTGAGTCATTCAAAGAGATGCACCTGGCAAGACCTGACACGAAATCAGGGTTACAGGTACTTGGAAGCCTGGGCTTGCCAAAACTAACAGACTGGCAACAAAAGGAGTCAGCCAGTAAGACCATGACAGCTCAGTCCACAAGTATGGTGCATCAGGGAGGAAAGGCAGTGGGAAGGAGGAGGCAGGGAAGGGCTCAGTCCCAGCTCCAGAGCCTCCTTTACTACCTTTGAGTGGAATTCTCTTAAAGGAAAATGCTGGTGTCCAGTTGACTACCACAGCTCCAGGTGCAACAAAAGTTCACAGACTACTGCGGACATGGCTGTGACCCTGTAAATAAGTCTCCTCTTTGTTGAAACATGACCCATTGCTCCTGCTTTCTAGAAACAACACTAACAGGGCACTTAACAAGCCACAGGGTATTTCCACTTCATTATCCTCCTGTTTGCTGTATGCAGCTCAGCAAGAATCATGTCACAGACTAAACCAGACCACAGTGCTGCACTGATAAACCAAAGTATTGTGGTCAAAAACCAACACCTTACCAATTTCACATGCATACAAGTGTGTGTATCCACATTTTATGTGTATATGTATAAGGAACCCACACATACAGTATGTGTGTGGATGAATGTATATGTAACACTCTGCCACTACAAGAGATCAGAAATGAAAACAAAACAGCTGGACTTGTTATGAGAAAATAATAAAAAGCTTATGGATCTACTAAAAAAGGCTTGGAAGACGTCCTGTGATGACTTAGAATTGACAGAGGATTATTTGTATGCAGGTTTATACACCTTTCAAAGTACAGAGACACTAAAAAGTATCGCAGTTAGATTCCTCTCCTCCTTTACTGACCTGCCAAAACCTCATTCCCAGATGGCACAGCTCTCCAAAAGCAATGACATCACCAGCATCTCAGGTAACATCAATGCAGCTGGCAGGATAAACACTGCTCTGCTCTCAGAGGTTGGCAGGTAAAAGAGCCTGAGTTCACATTTCAATCAGGAAAGAGAAAGGAAGAAGAGAGAGCCAGCACTCAGATGAGAGCTGTGAAAGCCCAGACAGCCAAAAGCAAAACTGCAACAAAAGACAGAAACTACTGAGTAACAACTCATGACAGGCATTGCTTGACTTTGTGCCTGTTCCTTCTCACTTCCGCTCATTCAGGTGCGTGCTGAGGACAGACAGAAACCAAGCACCAGGTGAAAGTAACAGAAATTGGACATCAGCCTTAAAATGTATCCTTCAAATCATGACTGAACTTGAGTTCAATGATCCTTCAGCTGCTCATTGCTGAGCCTATCCCAGCTGGGTGGCAGCCCTTACTCCAGAGAGGCTTCAAAGGCTCCATGAAGAAATCAGCTTGTCTCACAAATCCCACAGTGTCCAAGGGATGGAGCATCACAGATTTTGCTGGAAGTTTTATTTTGTTGGTTGGGTTTTTCCCCCAGTTGACAGATTAACAGAGACAAACAGAACAAAAAACCAATACCTTCAGCATTGTTTTTTGTCCAATTAATCCGTAAGTCCGTGCTGAGGGATGAAGCGGTAATAGCGGACTCTTCACTCAGTGCCCCCATTGCTGTGTAATGCAAATAGATGCTTACTGGAACAGAAAACTCTGTATCTATTCAAGGTTCATTTCACCCAGAAAGCACTTCATACAAGATGCACTTCAAACAAACCCCAGAGAAGGCAGCAATACAATAACAACTCATTTAAAACATTCTAGCCTCAAACTTCCTTTCAACACAGCATAATTATGATTGTGGGACAACAAACGATGGCTTGCAAGTGTCCCAAAATACAAATCCATCCTATTTTCCATTCTATTATCCTGCACAATTTACAGCACAGATACATGTAGCATAGTACAACCTTACACCTATTTACCAGTTCAAGTAGCTTATTTTCAGAGTCTAAATTACACCCCATCAGTTAAAATTTCATCCAGGTTTCAAATGGCTGAAGTAGCTCTGCTTCCTACATCTCTGCACACCTCTCACCCCACCACCTATTTCAGAAGGAGAAAGGCTTTGTTTCTGTTTAACAAACCCTGGCACCTCACAACACAGAAAAGCCTCTTCCAAACCTACCTTTCAGCAAAATATAGATTAGCATTCCAAACGCCATGGCAGCTGCTTTAACACCTTCTCAGGTCTTCTTTCCAGGTGGCTTGCTTGCTGTGCTTATCTGTGCTCCCGTGTTTTCTCTTGCACTTATACTCCAGGAAGCGTCATCTCCTGTTCTCACCAATCAAGAAAAGGTGCATCTGGTAACAACCTAACCCCCGGGGCAACCACACATTTATTTAGGAAACTGCTATTATCTTGCAATGGCATCAGATTTTCTTTTGAAACCCTGGTTTCCTATTACCTGTGGGCATAAAGGTGCAGTTTTAGAGCGAGACCCAGAATCTGACAGTGCAGAAGAACAAAAAAACAGCCAAACAAAGGTGAGCCAAACAAAACACGACTGAAAGTGTGGTGTTTTTTTCTCCTCATAATACAGGTCTTGTATTACTTCCAGAAGGATATTCACCCTCAGGATGCTACACTGGAGTTCAAGTGCAGACACCAGTCCCTGCTCTGCTCCCCTGTTCCTCCCATCTCTCAGTCCCTGCCATCCAGAAGAGGAACTGCGGGAACAGCTAGTGCCAAGATTAGGAAGCGATGAGGCACAAAGATAATGGATGGTGTTCTTCATCAGTGGCTGCCAGCGGGAGGCCTTTGATCCCAGGCCCTGCAAGCCCGAGGGCTGTGCTAATCACTTTCCACTCAGCCTGGCTGGGCACAGCCCGGGAAACCAGGCAGCCCACCAGCCAGTGCCAGGCCTGGGATTGCTGGCTAGAGCTGCGGGGCACAAGTCCAGACCTGGCCAGGCACAAGCAGTGACACAGGCTGAAAGAGCAGGTAAACTGCTGCCTCCCATAGCAGCAGAGCCCTTCATTTCTGCCAGAAAAGCCCATCTCCGCCTCTCCAAGAAGTGACTATGCTTAATGCAAACACTCATACTTGTTACACAGTGTTTGCAGGGTCTCTAGAACTGACCTGTCAAACATGCTTCTTGTACTAAACCACTCTCCACAACTCCAAACACTGTACAGCTTCCTTGGTCACAGGCAGATTGGGACAAGTAGGACTGGTCTCTGTGAAGGGTACTGATGTGCCCGGACTAGAGCAGTTAATTGGAAAATCCCAGTTCAGTAACACACTGAGACATCCACAACCTGACGGACCAAAGGAGCAGTACATGGCTCACCTCAGCAACAACTCTCACTTCCTCAACTGTGAGCTCCAAGCAGCAAAGACATTTCACAATTTTTAGATTTTAAAACCCAAAGCCTTTTAATAAGTGCCTTGGTAACTCCAATCAGCTCACATCCTCCCTCTCCATGGCATTCTCCTCAGTGATCCGTAGGACTACATCCAACCACTTCACGTGTTCAGGGAAAAACACAAGCTAGTTATGCATATTTTAATTATGCCCTTTCCTGCTCATGGACTGCATTCCAGGAGGTTTTTCCCTTCCTTTGCTATCCTAAATTACTGCATGCCTGCACACTGATTGAGTGCGACTTGCACACTCCCTGGACGGACAGGAGTGTTTATGCCTACCCGGATAACCTCTGCTATCAGTCCCAAGCAGGGATGAGGTTGGTGAGCCTTGCTTTCAACATTCAGCTGCACAATGGCAGCTTAATCTGGCCTGAATCCGAGGGCTGGCTTTGTCATGAGGCAGCACAGCGGGTGCGGTAGGCCTGGGACAAGGCTGCAATGGGCAAGGCTGTGCTCTGTCTGCCGCAGGGCGTTTGTCCTTGGACAAACCTTGACCAGGTCAGGCACACCAGCCTGCTTTCTGGGTTGTCTAATGGGCCCTTCCCTCTGGATGCTCCCTCTGGATGTTCTCCCAGCAGAGAGCACTCTCATGGGAGCCTCCAGCAGCTCTGCAGACAGCATGTAGTGGAGCCAAGCCCAGGCCCCACAGGCTGTGCTGTAATGCTAACCCAGCTCCCACAGGATCAAGGGAAAGGCTTACCATGCACAGTGACCTGCTTGGAGGGCATGACACAGGCAGGCTCACTCAAGGAATACAAGCACAGTGCCTTAAATGGCTACTCTGACAAAAATCACAGAGATGATCACAGTTAAACCGAAGAAAACAAACATCAGTGCAAACAGATGGACACAGCAATGATTGAACACAAACAAAGGAAGAACACAACCATGCCCCAAACCACATCAACAGCCTCCAGCAAGACCAAGGTAACAGCAAACAAGTTTTATTCCATCTTTCAGACATGGGTTGATGAGTCCAAGTACAGTCTCCATAGGTGCCTTCATCCTCCTACCACTTACATTACCACATAAATTTATATTACCACCTACATTTAAAAAGACAAGCATCTGCACCATTGGCATTGTATATTTAGCAATAATCCTGTCAAACTTGTGCAAACACTGTGCTAGAGCAAACTCAAAATCCATCACAAGAACAGTGAGCATGGAAAGGATGCTCCACCTTGACTTATCACAGTAAAGGCATTTTCCCCTTTAACAGCAAGGGAACTTAACCACAGTCTTCTTCCTTCCCCTTCCAAGTTAACTATAGCCCAATAGCAAACACCTATGGCTCCTGATGAAAATAAATCAGTAATCCTGGTGCAGATGTAGACATCCTAACTGTCTACCAGTGCCTTCAGTGGGAATGTCACCATGCACACATTCAGCTGAACTGGCATCTCAGCAGTAACTGTTCTAGATCCATCCAAGAAACAGCTTTGGGAATAGAGGCACACTGATCTCATCTCACGTGCTCTTCTCTAACCAGCAAAATACTGTGGCCATTGAAGGCAAGGCTTAAAACATGGATTAAAAAAAGCCCTCTTTATGCAGTTTTGAAAAATAAGAGAATAATTAAATGGCTTAAAGTTCTAACACAAATATTTCATGAGGGATAAAGCTTTGGTTTTCTCCTCCTCTTGATCTCCTGCCACACATATATGTTGTACATGTAGAGAAGTTTTAAATACATTCCATTCAATTCCAATCAATTTCATTCCATTCTGTCCAATTTCAATCAAATTCAGCCCAATCAACTGGCCAAGTTTGAGGGGTTTTTATGAGATGGCACTATTAGGCACCAAAGCAACTTGCCCAGACATAGAAAAAAAATTACTCCAGTCTCAATTCTAGCTACTTATTCACACTTACCTCTTGCAGATGTTTCAAGTCAGAATTTCACCAGCATTCAAGCTTGACTCTTTTAAAGCATTTACTGAACATTTGCATTCATGTCAGCATTACTGCCTGGCCACTGCTGGCTCTACTCGTTCAAAAAAAGTATTTAAAGACCCTGAACTACATCCAGAGTGCTTAGTGACCTCAGAACCCAAACCATGTATTTGAAAGATATTTAGCATGTCTTAGTTTTTATATTGTTTGAACAGGTCCCAAGTGTTTACAGGACCTTGATAACTGCCCCAATACATAAGTTGTAATTTATGCTTTATTCTTCATTCTCCAACACCACCAACATACCCGTGTAGGCTGCATTCTCCAAGTCGATTTTGCTCACAATAAGTCAGTAGGAGGAAAGACAAAGTATCTGAACATTTTATAAACCATCAGATTTAACATACCTGACATGTAAAAATAAATACAAGGTAGAAATAAATATATTTATAGTAAAAAATAAGTGTTTTGTGTATCAATAAATAGAACAACCCAGATTCTTCTTCCAAGGTAACCCATTTGCTCTAGTAAATGAGCTTTTTAGCGACCAGGAGTGTGTTCTTCAGAAGCATTGCAACAGTCATAGGTCCTACCCCTCCCGGCACCGGAGTGATAAAGGCAGCCTTCTTCTTCACTTCTAAGAGAAAAGAGAAAAAGGCATTGACTAAGAACACTTCCAAACCTTTTTTCCCACATATGCAGGAAAGACTGTGACTGGCAGGTACTGCAGGGAAGGGACCAGCCAGGGCAGAAGCTTGACTGCAGCCAGGGCAGGGATGGAACAGGGCCAGCATCGGGGCTGCAAGGTTCTTCTCCTAATGTGAATGTATCACCCAGGGCTAGTTCTGGGCCAGGGCTGCACAACCTGTTCCAGCTGATCTACCTGCAGCACCTTGCCCTCTCCCCATGGCAGCACAGGCCTGTGCTCAGACAGATGGAACGTTAATCCCAAGGAATTCTTTTGGTAAGGGGCAATTTCTGCCCATGTGACACAGCTGACCAGCTGTCCCAGGAACATCTGTGTGACTGGTGGTCAGGATGAGCCCAGGAGAGCAGCATGGATGTGCATCACCCCCATCTGTCAGCTGGGACACCACACCTCCAATATCCAGGAGGGCTATGGAAGCTGGGGATGCCATTCTGTAGGTAAGGAGGTGACCCCCCCCCCCCAACTCTGTTCCTGAGGAGCAGCACGCAGAGCATGAGATTGCTGGAACTACTGCCATCCACAGCAGAGCAGCAGCCAAGTCACCTAGTCAGCCTCTGTCCCCCACGTGACAGAGGGCACACAACCAACATCACGAATGGTTTCAAGCATCAGCATTTTTAAACTCCCCAGTACAACCTT